CCGCTGATTGGGTTGGAAGCGGGCGGCGCCCGCCGCCCGGGGAGGCTCCGCCGGTCCAACCCCCTCCTCTGCCGGCGGAGACGGGCCTTGCAGCCGGGGCCCCGCCTCGCACGGTAGGGACGGGCCTCCCGTTGGAAACCTCCGCTGGCGCTTTGGATAAAGTTAATGATTTTATAGTTTTAATTAGGTCGCCCGGGCTCTGAGGGGGCCGCTCGGGACGGCCGCGTAGTGCGGGGCCAGGCGTGGGAGGGGAATCCCCTGCAGCACCCCGCCGGGTTGGACCCCGTCCCTTCCCCAGACGACGGAAGGGTAGTCACAAAGTAATGACTAAATAAAATTTCCTAACCTAACAGGTGTGCGCGTTCTGCGGGGTTTTTTATCCCCTCTTCCTCCGCTACTAAATGCTGCTGTAAACAGGCACAACCCCACTGACGTGCCTTCCCCAGGGAAGCTGAATCCTTGCAATAATCCTTCATTATTTCATCTTCAGAATAACTGCCTTTTTAGCCTTTTTTTTTTTGTTGTTAGTTTAATGGCCAAATTAAATGCAAGTTTTTACCCCAAGCAAAACTTCCCAAACTTGGTAGGCAGTTTCTTACGCAAACATTACAACTGGAAAATGCCTTCTAGATGCGCAGCACTGCTGCATCGCCGAGAGCTCAGGCCCCAGGAGCAACGCATGCTGAACACGAAACCAAAGCAGAAGCCCGCAGCGCGCTCTGCACCGCCTCCCCGACCCTGGCAGCAGTGCCCAAGTTGGCACCTTTACGTCTAACATGGTTCTGGCCATCGGAGCACCAACTGGTACCTGCCCTAAGACAAAACCATGTGAAACCTCCCCAAACCCTTCCCACTGAAGCACTCCCCATGATCAGTTTGCTCCTCACTTTCTGAAGGAAATCAGGAACCGGCACTTCTGTTCTCCTTGCCCCAAGATTGCCTACACAAGCCAGTGCACACAGAGCAGGCTTTGCCCTTTAAACTTTCTCTTTCAGAAAATTATTTGCAAATCCATTCGCCATATGCCCAGGCAGATGCTGAGCAGTGTGACATGCAACGCTTGTAAAAGCTGAAGATCTTTAGTATTCACCCGCTTGGCTTTCTTACTGCCTTTTGCAATCAATGGATTCCTCAAGACAAGAGTGCAATTTTAGGTGTAAGAGCCGCCCAACAAACTGTCAGCATTACACCAGTGGTGATACCACGTAGGTAGGATAAGCCAGGAGCACCAGTAAGGGTCTAAAAACGCAAACTGTGCCAGTCCTGCTCTCTCTAGACATCCCTATGAACCTGTACCACAGTGACCGCCGCTGATCAACAAATCCTTGCAGCAGCCAGAAAGGAAGAGAAGTGTGGCCTCAGGTTCAGACACGGAGTGGAAGAGAGAGAAGGTGGCCCATCCTATGGAGGTCTGCACCGAGGGGACACGGGTGCCCCAGCCCCAAGGCAGCCACCAACCAGCACGCCCACTGCTCTATGGAGCTGGAAGCTTCTCAGGGCCTTCCTTCAACGCTCTCAAAAACACACCCAGGACTCTTGGCAGGACAAGGGTGCAAAGGGACAGTCTAAAGTCCAAAGTGACACTCTCCATTAGGTTAATGTTTGCTAAATCACAGGAAGCGCAAAGAAAAAGTCCAACAGATACCAGCAAACTTGTGCAAGACGAGAATCAGTTCAAAACTGCTAGCGCTCCCAGCCCCGTTTGCAACCTACTGACGTGTCCACCTCTCCACGGTCAGAGCCACGGAGTTTGTCTCCCTCCTGTCTGTACTTTTGCAGAGAGATGGGTCTGCTTCTGAAGATTTTCACCCCCTTGCTGGGACTGGCACTGGCTTTTTATTTTTATTCAGCACCTGAGAATTTCAGTGAAGGTAAGTCATTGGAAAAACACGCTTTAAAAGCACAATCAGGGAGGCTGCTTCCAGAGCGGCAGCGCGTGCCCACACAGGAGAGCACGGGCCATTTGAAGGGCTTTCAAAGCACAGCTGGAAGAGCCAAAGCGCAGGAGGGCTGAGAGCTCGGAGGGGAGCGCAGGCAGCTCCCGGCGCAAGGGCTCAGAGCCCCCTGTGCCGCACAGGAAAGCTCACGGGATTACGCTGGGGTCTGCCGGGACGCGTGGTGAGTGTCTGAGCTCAGAAAGTGATTTATTTGGGAAACACGCAGTTATCCACTTAAAGCATTTAATTGTTTTATTATTCAACTCTTGCCATTTCCAAAAGCCGCTCCCAGACCAGGCTGGATGCGGAGCTCAAGCCTCGCACGCACTCCCCACCAAACTGGGATTAACGACCAGACTCCAGTCGGGGTCTGCATGAGCAGTGCATGCTGCAGCAGGGCAGTGCATGCTGCAGCAGCTCCCCGCACCCAAAGGCGAGGGGCAGCAGGGGCAGAGAGGAGCCGTGGTGCCCGCGGGCAGGGGGACGGTGCGGGCTGTGCCAGCTCTGAGCCCTGCACCCTCCTCCCCAGAAATGCTCCAGGGGAAACGGGTGATCGTGACAGGAGCCAGCAGCGGCATCGGGGAGCAGATGGCCTATCACCTGGCACGCATGGAGGCCCACCTACTGCTCACAGCACGGACGGAGGCCAAGCTGCAGAAAGTAAATGGCGAGCAGAGTACACCAGGCAGGCAAAACACATTTGCAACCCAGAACCCCACAAGCGGGCAGAATGCAGATATTCACGCTGGCCCGGGCACACAGGGATGCCAGACACCCTACAGATCCACCCCAGCGTTTCCCCAGCATGAGCCTGTTCTAACACACACACCCCCTCACCGCAACAAAATGGGGTTTTCAATGCTGACAGCACAGCATTTCTTTCTCCGCGGTCTTCAGCTGTGAATTCTGATCTCCACCACCAAGGACACCACCAGTCTGCCCAAGTCCTGGTCTGATCAACCCTTACCCTTTCTCAAAGTCTGAGCTTGTTTTGCATTCCATATACAACAGAATCAAAATTAAGCAATAACCCTATTTATAAAAACTATATATTTGGCTCAGATGTGCCACTGTTTAACTCTGCAACCAGAAACGTTTCTCTGAGCAATATTTTTCCTCCCATGAAGGGAAAAGGGTTTCCAGCAGGACAGGGAGATGCTCCCCATGCACCCCAAGACAGCAACAGCATCACGGGCTGGGGACGGGGGTGGTGTCCATGGAGGAGGGGTCCATCGCCAACACCACTCTCGCTGTCGCCGCAGGTTGTGGAGCAGTGCCTCAAGCTTGGTGCCGCATCTGCCCGCTACGTGAGCGGCTCTATGGAGGACGCCACGTTCCCCGAGGTGGTGGTGAGGGAGGCTGAGAACACCTGGGGTAGGTGGTGGGGAGCCGCCCCTCTCACTCCCCAACACACCCTGCGCTACATTTTTGGGGCCATTCCAGCCACCAAGCAGCTGTTTTGGTTTTAGATGCTGGTTGCTAATAGCAAACATGCTCTGCTTCCAGGAGGCCTCGATATGCTCATCCTAAATCACATTGGTTTCTCCTACTTCAACTACTTCAATGGGGACGTTGGGCACGTACGAAAGCTCATGGAGATCAACTTCCTCAGCTATGTGGCGATGACCACGTCTGCCCTGCCCATGCTGAAGGAGAGCGAGGGCAGCATCGTAGTGGTTTCATCCCTGGCAGGTGAGCACACAAGGGACCAGGCTCTCCCTGCCCACATCCCTTCCTCTGCCTGCAAGGGATGCCCGCTGCAGCTCCTCTTCAACAGGCAGAATAAGGACCATAAGGCAGAGAGCCACCCCGCTGGGATCAGCATATGATTTATATCCTGGATGCACAATTCAAGTCCTCTGCGGGATTTATATTCTACACCCTGCCCTACTAGTCTCTTTGCCCCCACTAATCTCCTTCACACATTGCAGTCAACGGTACGCCACTGCACGTTATTTTATGTGCATGGCCAGGTATTATACATGCATTTGGTGTACAAGGGTATATATACAGGCATACAACAGTATTGCCCACAACTGAAGGTATTCATGCCACTGTATGCCATATGTTACATTTTAAACATTCCTGCATTTGTTTATTTCTCTCAAGCATTCATGACATGACTCAGTCATCCTAAATCACAATATTGTAGCTACTTGAAGGGCAAGAGGAAGGGAGAGCCATGCAGCCTGGTGTCTGCCCAGTACATGAACCCCGACATTGTGTCTCTGCTCCAGGTAAAACTGGCAGCCCGTTTGTAGCTCCCTATTCCGCAACTAAGTTCGCCTTAGATGGATTTTTCAGCTCCTTGCGACATGAATTCATCATAGACAAGGTCAACGTCTCCATCACACTCTGCATCCTGGGCTACATCGACACGGGTAAGCTCAGCATCACTGAGGCCCTGCAACTCAGTGCATTTCCAGACAGAGCCAAGCCGAGCCCACCCCCCACCCCCCGGCCCCAGGCTGCTCAGCACACTGCTTCGCCACTGCTGCTGGACCCTCAGCCTGCAGCGGCTGTGCAATTGTGGAAACAGGACCCCAGCTCTTTAAAAGCTGTGGCCCGAGACCTTTGACTGTGCTATCCTTGCAGTAAATTGAGGGGAGGCAGGGATTCCGTCCTATGGTCACTCAAGAGGTGGAAAGGAATGGGAAGGACATGGCTATAATTGTTATTTATTTTAACTATTCTAAGCCTTGTTAAGTAGGTCTGATCCCCAGAGTTTGTCAGTGTGTTAGAGGAAGCTACAGACACCCCCACTGAGCCGGCGGTGCCTGTGGCAGCCCCTCCATCTGACACTGCTCCTTCCCTCCCCGTCCTCCCGTCCCTCCAGAGAACGCCGTGCGAGCAGTCTCGCATGCCATCCGGGACACGCCGGCACCAAAGGAGGAGTGCGCGCTGGAGATCATCAAGAGTGGGGTGCTGCGCCAGCGGGAGCTGCGCTACCCATCCTGGGCAATGGGCAGCCTGCTCCTCCTCAAGGAGATAGCCCCCGACTTCCTCGACTCCCTCATCAGGAGCAACTATAAGGTGGAAAACATCAGAAGAACATAGCCCCTGGGGCAGCAAGCGCACCGGCGCACCTTGGGCCAGGCACGAGGGATTTGGGTGTTAATCTGGCCACTTGGGTGCCCTTTTCCATGCCACTGGTGCAGTCCCATGCTGATGCACCCTGGAAGCCAAGACGGGATGCACCAGAAGCCTATAACATGCAGCATGACAACATCCTTTTTAGTAACGAACTCTTGCGACTGGCTTTTTTCCAACCAAGAGGCACTTCAGAGAAGCTCCTGGCAGCAGGATCTGCTCGCCAGCAGATTACCTGCTCAGCCTCCAGAATTACTGTTCCCCCACCAAAAGCCCCAAAGGCAGCGGTGCTGAGCACTGCGGGAAGCGAGCAGAGCCACGGCCCAGAACGAGGATTTGGGCCAAGCAGCACAAACCACCCAAAGCCAGGAGAGGGTCTTTGAACCGGGAAATTTTTTGTCACGTATCCCTTTAGGCTGGTCTTTGTAAAAATAAAACCTACGTTACTTTACGAGCTCTCCGCATTTACTTGTGTTCCTTTTCCATATGCATAGGCACAGAGCCCTTATCAGCACCCAGCTGGTTAAGCCGACCTCCCTGCATGATTTGCATTAACACAGCTTTCACTTCTCTAAAGACCTTAATGAATTTCTGCCATTGGTGACCTCTCCTCAGCTGCCAATACACACTTTTTTTCCTTTCCAATCTACGGGAAGCCTTAAAATAACAGCATTACTGTACTTCCCTAAGTCTGGATTTCTCTACCCCAAAGCAGCTCGGGGAGACTTGGTCACCAAGTGCCACAAGCAGCTCCATGAACCAGCACTCAACCTCCGCGTGTCAGAGGCCGATAAAGGGAGATGGCCCAAAAGATAACTGCTAGCTCTGCTTAGAGAGAAGCTGGAGACTTTGGGGTCCCAAGATAACCCAAATCCCCCCACGAGCCAGGCCCCTGCGCCCCGCAGCCGGGCTGCGAGCAGAGACAGGAACCGGGGCTCGGCTGCAACGTTTCCTGTTTTACGGAGCGAGAAAGAGAGCGAGAGCAGCAAAATGAAGTGGTTGCCACGAAGATGGCAGTTGGAGCGTGTTCGTGCCCGATAACCCCCTGCTCTCCCTGCTCCTCCGCGGCGGTCGAGGGGTAGGACAGGACCCCTCGGTCCAGGTAAGAGCCTGCCGCGCTGGGGCCGGCAAGGGATGGAGGGGAGGGGAGGCTGCCATGCTAAAGGCAGCAGCATGCACCTTTTTTCCTCTTTTTTCACCCCGCTTTCAGCCTACATGATTGACACTGGGAGGCTGTAACATGAACTGGCAAGAAGCACTTGGTTTTTTTGGTTTCCCTTGAAGCAA